ACTCACAGTCACCCCCACTGCGGTCAGGGATGGCTCGGCCAAAGAAGAAAAAGGCTCCACCCCAGCCTCCTCCTTGCACTGCCACCAGCTCTACCAGCTCTGCAATCGACCCACCAGCAGAATCACAAGCAGCGGCATCGGACATTGATGTCCAAGAGAACCAGTCTGACATTGTCCCCACCACCCCTTCGATCTCACTCTCGCAAGCTACTAGAGGAAGCGAGCTGGGTAAACAACCCAGCAACACCGAAAACGACTCCGATCAGCCCTCCAAGAAACGCAAACCAACAAGTGACATTTGGGATCATTTTACGAAGAAGGGAACGGGTACGCACTACATCATTCTTGCTTCTCTCCTTATGATCAGCTGGGACTGATCAGAAGCTTGTCTCTTCTATTCCAGGCCAGCATGCGACTGGGCGATGTAAGTACTGTCAGAAGACAATGGATGCAAAGACCACAAATGGCACCACCTCGTTATGGCGCCACCTTGATCGATGCTCCGATTACCTCAGCAGCAAGCGACAATCCTTACTTGGTGTCGACAAAACTAGCCAAGGTACTACGACTTGGGTCTTTTCTCAGAAGGCCTCACGCGAACTACTTACCCGGATGATCATTGCACACGAGTACCCCTTCACGTTGATCGAGCAGCCCCTTTTCCGAGCCTTTGTGCAATCATTGCAACCGAAATTCAAGCTTCTCAGTCGTGGGACCCTCAAGACCGACATCATGGCCCTTTACCAATCAATGAAGATGAAATTAGCTATTGAGTTAACAACTGTTGATCGAATCTTGTTAACGACTGACCTGTGGACCTCTTCGAATCAGACGCCCTTCATGGTTGTCACAATCCACTACATCACCAACTGGTCCCTCAAGAAGCGAGTCATAGCTTTCAAGGAGCTCCCCACGCCTCACACCGGTATCAACATCGCTGATCAGCTGATCAGTACAATTATGGAATGGAAGTTGGTGGACAAGGTTGCTTTTATAACCGTGGATAACGCATCTTCAAACGATGTCGCAGTTTCTCGGGTCTGCTCAACTCTGTCTAGTCGAAGCAGTGTCCCACCCGATTTGGATGGGAAGTTTTTCCATGTTCGATGTGCGGCGCATATAATCAATTTGATCGTGAAGGATGGACTCAAAATGCTTTCGGGTTCCATTGACAAGGTTCGCAACAGTGTGCGACACACAACAAGCAGCTCCTCCCGCAAACAACTCTTCAAGGAAGCAATTGGACAAGCAAACATGAAAACCCAAGCACTCCCTTCGGTCGATGTCCCCACCCGCTGGAACTCCACATACCTCATGCTCCAATCCTCCCTCCCCTATAAGGAAGCATTCGATAATCTTGCAATCCAAGATGCAAACTATACCGATTGCCCTACCTCAAACGAGTGGGAAGAGTTAGCTATGATGCGTGACTTCTTGTGTGTTTTCAACACAGGTGAGTCTGCATCAATGCAAAGTGGGTAACACAATTCTTTATTTGATTCTGACAAACTACCATTTTTCCCAGCAACTTTGCAGCTTGGGAAGACCCACCTCCCCGCTGCTCACATTATTTTTAAAACAATGAAGAAGATTGAGAAGCAGCTTCAAGATACCTCAACCCCGTCTCATCTGGCCGATATCATCAAGCCGATGCAGGAAAAATTTCGCAAGTACTGGCTGAAGATGAAAGACTTTGCAGCCATCAGCGAAGTTTTGGACCCCCGTTGCAAATTGGAGCGCCTCGAATTCATTCTAAGCGAAAACTCTTCTGATCCGGATGATCCAGCTGCAATCAGTCTGGTTGACATAAAATCCACCCTTGCCACCTGGTTTAAAGAGGTCGTTAGTTCTCAAAACCGATCAACTTCAACCGCCGATACAGGAAAGTCTGCAGATCCCAACCAATCCCAAACTCCCATAGAAGACGATGAGGATTTGCGCTACAAGAAGTACCTCGAAGCAAAGAAGGCTACCCATGTGGTTTCAACAACAGCTGAGCTTGATCTGTACCTTCAAGAGCCGCCGATTATCAGCGACTCACCAAGCTTCTCTGTACTCTCTTGGTGGAGTTCCATCGAGGGCCGATTTCCAACTCTTGCCAGACTGGCAAAAACAATTCTCATGATTCCGATGACCTCGATTGCATCGGAGTCAGCTTTCTCCACCGGGGGCCGAGTCCTGAGTGACTATCGAACAAGAATGAAACCTGATACGCTTGAGGCGCTTGTTTGCGGACAAGACTGGATACGTAGTGACGCTGGTATAAAAGGTGATGAGGATGAGGATGTCGAGGGAGATGTAACAGTGATAGAATGAAAATTTTATTATATCTCTTCCTTTTGTGTTATTACCCCCTCCCATCATTATTACCACCCTTCCCATCGTGTTATTTCTCCCTCCTATGATTATTACTGAACACACGCAAAGAAACCACGCTTGTGCAGCCAAAAAGTTCGGGTCAACCCGAACCCGACCCAGACCCGACCCAGACCTGAGCTCCCCATAGTTGGGTTCGGGTTCGGGCAGCCATTTGGCAAATCTGACCCGACCCGACCCAACCCAGCATGTACCTTGGGTCGGGTTTGGGCAGGGTTTTCTGACCCGAACCCGACCCATTTACATCCTGAGAACTTGGAAGAAGCCAAAATTGCCAAAAAAAGAAGGAAAAAGAGAAAAAAATGGTAAAACACAAGAAAAAAAAAATTGAAAAAAAGCTTCAAACATTTGGAACACCCCCAGGGGTGTAGCACAAAAGAGGGTTAGGGCACTGTACACAGCAGATTGAACCCTGATTCGACGCTGTTGGAGCTGAATTAATTCTTCGCTAAGGTCATAAATTAATCAAAATTTGCTTGTGTAGTAGCAAAGCCCTTAACAAAGGAGAAAATTGGTTCCCATCATGGGAAATGTTTCATAAAACTCCAAAATCATTTGTCATACTTTTCCTAATGGCAAGAGAGGTTGAGCCTTGACATCCTGATTTTGAAAAACTTGCAAAAGTGGGATTGGCCATCAATACACAAGGGCACATGTTGAAATCATACACTTATATGGAAATGAACAACCTGATGGGTTGAGAACTTGAAAATGCAAATAAACTAATAACCTCATATAAATAAAGAGAAACATTTACATGAAAGATAGGAAATAAATTCAAGCAATAAAAGCCAGAAGGAAGGATATTGAAAATGAGGATGAGAAATATATTTACAACAACACACTGATTGGACAACAGGAAAAAAAAAAACCAAGCTTGAAAATAAATGACAAGAAGAAATTAGTAGCCATTCATAAACTCAGGACTAACAATCAGGGAAACAATGGATTATAAATATGGATTCAAAAGAATATGCTGCAGAATATTTTGAGGAACCTTGTAAACTCTACAAGAATGTGATATCAAGAAGTTCAATTTTTGGTATGGGGATTGATCTACAGTGAAAGGCTGATTATCCAGCCCATTGACTCACAAGAGATTCAAATAGAATTACCCCAATCAAGTAGGAAGCAAGAATTTCTTTTTTCACAGATCCAATATTTACCAGAAAGAAATCAGAAAATGAACAGTGTGATAAAGGTCTCAGTATCTGAAGGAAATCTTTTAATCCCCCTTCAAGTTGCAATGAGATTTCACATGAAGACTGGATATAAGAGCTCATATAAAATGGGAACCATGTGTCCACAAGAGACATGATACATATCAACTCTGATGAATTATTCAACCCTTCATTGCCATAAAAATGTATCTTGGTTGATCTTTGATACACTAAACCTTGTCCAAATTCATTGAGTTGAACCTATCAAATGAAATTACAAGGCAGATACCTCAAATTAATATTTCATCAGGTTGGTTTGGCCCATTTAACCTATTTTGAGTGTGTCTCAGATCAACTAGGATACCCTCAACCTAGCTAAGTTTTGTGAATTTGTTTCTCTCATGAGAAAACCCCTGACTTGAAGGCTCCATTTTTTTCTTGTCTACCAGAAGAGACAAAGCGGCGTAAAATGTTTGAGTCACATTTAAAACACAAAATCAAACAAAGAATCAAAAGCATGTTGAAAAAAAATGTGGGAAAATATGATTTTTGAAAAAAAAGTAATCTGGAAAGGACAGAACACTGGCCCCAGAACAAAAAAGGCAATGTGTGCACATTTCC